GATAATGCTTGACCACATGTTGCGGCGCCGGTCAAAACCTACTTAGAAACACTCAAATGGAAAGTTCTACCCCATCCGCCGTATGCTCCTTCCGACTACCACTTGTTCCGATCGATGACGCATGGCCTGTCTGAGCAGCACTTCATATGAAGACATCAAAAATTGTATCGATTGGATAGCCTCAAAAGAAACGTTCTTCCGACGCGGTATCCACATGCTACCAGAAAGATGGGAAAAAATAGTGGCTAGCGATGGTCATTACTTTGAATAAAACATTATGTACCGTTCTTTCACAATAAATGCTTAATTTTTTATTAAAAACGGCGGAAACTTATTTGTACTCCTAATACAATATTCAGAGTATCGTAACTCGGTGAAAAATTATTTCAAACAAAAAATCAAAAAAACATTTGAAAGCTTGAAATTTCTAAGATTTTCTTTCAACATCGGTACTAATATTTCAATTTGATTGATTCTTTATGGAAATATACGGATACAAATGGATACTCGTTAAATCTGAAAAATTTTACAAACTTTACGAAGATCTATGGCGAGAAATAAAATTCACACAAAAATGCGATTTGCGATAATCGAAAGAGTGAATCTTTACTTTCAATTTGCTTTTTTATTGAGTGCTGTACGATTTTTTTTCACCGAGTTGAAAAATGATCACTTTTGCTTCGTACGTTCAGTAATTCAATGAAGAGAAATAGTACAGCACTTAATAAAAAAGCAAATTGAAAGTAAAGGTTCACTCTTTCAACTGCTGTAAACCGCATTTTTTGTGTGATTTTTAGATTTTTACTTCACGCCATAGACCTTTATAAAATTTGTACAAAATTTCAAATATTAACAAGTATCCATTTGCGTCCGTACAGCTCCATAAAAGATCAGTCAGAATTGTATTGAAATATTTATTACCGATTTCAAAAGTAAAGAATTCAACCTTTTTTATTCCTTATGTTTCATGTCATCAAAGTTAAAGTTTATTTTTTAATTTTAAAAGTGCTATACAATTTTTTTTCACCGAGTTATTGAATGTTGAAATAAAAGTGATCATTTTTGCCTCCCCCCCTCTCTCCCTATGAGTAGCCACATATCTCACTCCTATGGGATATACAGCAAAAATGCAAGGGTTTCAGAAAAATTTATTTTTTAATATGAAAAATAAATATTTCGGATTTCTAATATTTTTTTCATAATACAATTGTAGACAGTACAAGTTTTTACTGATATAGTTCGCTTATTATAAACATAATAAATAATACTTAATAAATTAAGTTTTTGACAGATGCAGCGTATATATCGGAGTTATTCTAACTTTTTATATAAAACTTTAAAAAAACAAACATTGTTATACCTAGTAATATGTGACGCATACATCGCATACATATTATATAAAAAATATATTTTTTAGTTTATTTCATTATTCTTAAAGCAAATTTGTACTTTGAGAACATTGCACTAAACTACTAAGACGAAATAAAATATTCAGATAATGGACAATCTGATATTTAGTAATCATTAAACTCAATTGTACCATTGAATTCTTTGCTTTTTAGATTTAAAATTTAATACACCTTTACCAATTTTGTCAATTGCTAAATTTAATCGATTTCTACGCTTAGATTGTAGAAATTTTAAATTAGAAAAAATTCTTTCAATTCTAGCAGAAGAAATGCAACATTTAAACAAAATGCTTGCAATTAGAACGGATTATGAACCGGCCACAAATATTCCTAGATAGGGCGAGTTTTTTGTGCATGCGTAGTGCAGAGTAATATCTAAGAGCTTGCAATGAAAAATTGTTGAAAGTTCCTAAAAAAACAAAACTGCATTTTGACTAGACATTTTGACCGGTTAAAACCAATTTTAACCACTGGCTAGATCAAAACAAAAAAAAGTAGTCTTTTGTCAATCCTGGTTTTAAGTAAATGCATGTATGAATACGTGCGTGAGAGTAGGTTCTATGTATTATACAGTTCTTGATCAAAAGAATTGCGTCTCTTTTTTAATTTTGGGTTAAGAAGGTAAGATTCTGAACGGTTTGAAAAGTGACGGTGTTTTGAACTTGGATTGCGGAAAAAATATAAATGCGATCTATTTCAATTTGACGCTTTATTACTACATATATTAAACTTATTGTATGATAAATTTCATTAAAAAATATTGATCTAGCGAGGAATAATAACAATCGTATGAAATGTGATTTTGCGGAAACATGAGCAGTATACATGATTCAGATTATTCTGAAACAAAAAATCGAAATAGTTTCTTAAATTAAAATGTACTCTTCATCGTAATTATAGACAGTGGACGCCCTTTTACATGTCTAAGACGTGTAATAAAATTTTATGACAGACTTAGATTTAAGGGATATTTTGTAACTGTTAAAGCTTAATATGGTAAACATGTGTATCTGAGAATTCTCCTCTTGTTTTTTTCTTAATAAAATGTTTATTAGGATGGAATCTATAGACGTTGCTCAAACTTTAAGATAATTTTGAACTGGTGCTTAAGATATCATCAGCCAATCAGAAAGTAGCGTGTCATTACTTGAGACGATCAAGAGATTAAGAACGGACTATGCACATCGATCTTAGAGTTAAAGTGCAATTTTAGTATTATGCGTCTATATCTTCTTCGCGAAACGAGGTCCACTCCATCTATCCTCTTACCTAGAGGCGCATGATTTTGGCCATGTTCGTATATTACTAACAGTTGATTACCAGTATTGAAAATCTGTAGTTCTGTTTACTATACTGTACTAACAACTGTTTTACGTATATTGTATTGACAACTGGCAATAATATATAAATACGTCTTTTTTATGTGGATAGATCTTATTTCGCGTAAAAAATTGCACGCCTTCAGGCAGGAAGGGTGGACCTCGCTTTACGTGAAAAATCAGACGCCCCTAGGCAGGAAAAGAAAGATGGACTTCGCTGAGATCTCCAAGAATCGGAATAGAGCGCATAGCACAGTGTGTCACCATTATGCGGCTGGTCGGGACTTCATACAGCATACATTGAACTCGTGTCCAGTGTGGGAGGATGCGCGCGGAGAACTGATTGTAGTAATGTAAAGAGACCTCTTGCGGTTCTCGCTCCCGGCATTTGTAAGCGAGATATTACGAAATAAAGAGCATATCGTCTATAGTCTCTTATTTCTCAGTAATAGTCAACTTATAGATGACAGAACATTGATTCTGTCAGTGTTATCAACGTAAATTTGACTACTAATGGTGGCGGTTTATTCTAATTCATATTACAAAAACACTAGTTTTTGAAATATTTAGAGTTAAAGTGCAATTTTAATATCATGTATTCATATGATCTTATATGCGAAACAAGGTCCTTGCCAAATCTCTGTACTTCTCCTTAAGGACATCTAACTTTCCACGCAAAGCGAAGGCTACCCAAAATCTCCCTCCCCCCCCCTCACAATCAGTGTTATGATTCTCCGAGGAGACCGCGTATGTGCAGTACTCAGAACGACAGGAAGAGGGGTGTTGCTGCGTGTTCTACGCGGATGGCTGACCTGTTCCCTTCTTTCGTCTCTTTCACTCTAGCGTTCCGCCTCCTCTTTTGTCATTACGTTTACAAAAGGAGAAGATGATTTGCCAGGATTTCTCTGAGCACAAAAATTGTCGTAATATTTACTTATGTTAGACTTAAATTGTAGACATAAATAATGCACAAGCTTTCACGTATAACATACAACAAAACTTGTGCATTGCTTAGATCTACAACTTAAGTTGTATCGCATATATTATAAGATCGCATATAAATGCATGATATTAAAATTACACTTTTAACTCTAAATATTTCAAAAACTAATGTTTTTGTAATACGAATTAGAATAAACCGCCGCCATTAATAGCCAAATTTATGTTGATAACACTGATTCTGTCATGTAAGTTGTAATCTGTCATCTGTAATTCTGTCATCTGTAAGACTACTACTGAGAAATAAGAGATTACAGACAATATATAGAAAATATAACACGTTAAACACGTAGCTGCTCTGGTAAAAATTTTTCTCAAAATTTTTCGTATAATTTTTCAGAATTTCTCTATAATTTTATAACTTTTTCATATTTTTTTATATGAATTAAAATATTTTTCAGAAAATTTACATCTTTTTTCAGAATTTTTTATATGTTAATTATGAAATATCGTAAGATTTTTAAGAATTTTTTTAAGTATAATTTCTGATGAAATGTTATAAAATCTAAAAAAATTTTTAAATACTCTTTAAAAAATTATGGAGTGAGAAATTTTAAAATATTTCAGAATTCACTTGTATGAGTAAAGTTCTGAGAGAAGAAGTAAACTTTACGAATATTTCTGAGCATTTCTGAAAAATGTTCCAATTCGTATAAAAATTCGTGAGAAAAATTTTCACCAGGATGAATTCAATTAAATGAACATGATTAGAAATGATTAGAAATAAATATGATTAGAAATAACATTCTTTAACAAACTTCCTGTAAATGTATATTACTAGCGCTAGATAATGAGGAAAATATGGAAAATAACATCAAATATGTGATTTTCTGCAATTTGTTTGTAACTTGCGGTTATGTTGGCTATTGCAACTCATTTGAAACTCGCCGTTGATTATTGGCGGATTTTGGCAATCAAAAGTTGCGGTCACATTGTCTTGACTCTTATTATAGGAACACTATAAGGGGCTCCGCACAATAAAAGGAATAGGGAACAGAGAACAGAGAACAGAGAATAAGAACTTCAACCTATCAGAAACTGTGTATTCCACAATACATTATTTCTGATAGGTTGAAATTCTTATTTTCTGTTCTCTGTTCCACCATTTAGTTGTTAAGGCAAAATTGCTCAGGATTATGATCTTGACAACATATATAGTCAAGATCATCGAGAATTCTTTATAGATAATAATCGAAACGTAAATAATTATCGAAACTCTTAATTGTTAGCGACCAATCTTTTATTTGTTAAATTGTCGCATATTTCTGCACAGATTGTCATTGCGAGTATTATGTGCACATATAATAGGGCTGATTGGATGAAGCTGGCGAAAAAAGCGGAAACAGCTGGTTCTGATGGCTTGGAATTAAATTTATCCTGTCCGCATGGTATGGGCGAATCTGGAATGGGTCTGGCTTGTGGACAGGTTTGTTTAATTTTCGTTTACTCGTTTATAGCTTGTTATATAAGAGTAATAAAAAAATGAAATTGATTTTAGGATCCTGAACTGGTTAGAAACATCTGCAGATGGGTTCGCAAAGCAGTCAAAATACCATTTTTCGTAAAATTGACACCCAACATCACTGATATCCTTTCCATTGCCAAAGCAGCTTACGAAGGTAATTAAATTTATTTAAAAATATTAAAAAATAAAATTAAAGCTATGCATATATTGTGTAAAATAATAATATTAATCATATCTAATTAAATATTTTTTCTTATACACAATCTTACAATAAATGTAAGTTACCATTTGTGCGCAAAGTAATTTTACGTATTAAATTCTTAAGGGGGTATAAGAGTAAAGATCTTAAAAAAAAAGCTTTCTTTGTCAATTTTTTGTTAAGTAACTATTTTTAATAATAATAATATATAGTAAGTTTCAGAAAAAACATGAATTAGTTATTGGGCATATTTTGAAGATTTTTATTTTAAGAATTTTTATACGTCAAAAAATAAATATAATGGTAAAAATAAATAAAATAAAGGTAATGTTACACAACATTTTAGACTTCTGTGTTCAAAAAACATGGTCCATCGGTGGCCAGAGAACGTCAAGTTGTAATTATCTAAAATGAACATTTCAGATCTATATGAGTGTAGTTTCAGTTAAGCGTAGCGATTTTTTTAAATAATTTTTTTTTACAAAATGACAGCGGTTAAAAAAATTAATGTCTCTACATTTTGAACTTCTTAAACATTTCGCTCTTTTAAAAACTAACAATTAAAAAAATCCCTACGCTTAACTGAAATTATTCATTATTTTGTGAAGCTATTGTTCAAAGCTGAGATCGATCAGTCAAAAATTGTTCGAATTATAGATGCCACCAGTTATAAAGAATAGTTTTGAGAAAAACACGTTTAAGTTTCAGTATTGCATATTCAGTAATGTGCGTCCGTTCGCATAAGAGAAACACTTCGAATTTTATAAATCTTTCAAGAGGATATTTTTAAGACATCAGTCTTTCAAAAAAAAATTTTTTTTTCGATTTTTTGAAAATTTTACTCTGTTATACCTCCTTAAGCTAATTAAACTTTTATAAAGATCATATATCTAGAAAAATCTTATACCTACATATATATGGCGCGCGCGCGCATTTGTGTGTGTGTGTGTGTGTGTGTGTGTGTGTGTGTGTGTGTGTGTGTGTGTGTGTGTGTGTGTGTGTGTGCAGATGAAATCGAATTCGGATCTGCGGATTGCTAGTCTACAAATCAAGTGTCATTCGATTCCTTTCACCGAAAAATCTCATCATACTGCTCCTTTTATCCTATTTGAAATGATTTTTTTAAATAGAGTAATTGAACGTCGCTTGTTCCTTTAGTGGCGATGTAGCGCACTGCTTGAAAATTGGACATATTGACAACCTTGGATATCTCTAAAATATCTATAAATACATCCATGGGACATATTTTAAACATTCAACATAGCGACGGAACTTTTCTAGATATATACTTTGGATGTCGAATTGTTGCTTAGATAGATATGTTTGACATACTTTTTGAATGATAGTTTGAAACACATAGATTTCAAGCGTTCAAACGGCAAAATTCATGTGATTATTTTTCACAGCATATTTGGACTAAACCTCACATTAAAATAATATTTACAAAATGTCGACAGTAAATCTCATATTTAAACATTCATACTATGGTGAAATCATCATTATGGTTTATAAAAGAACATATGGATCGACCAGAGATCATTCTAGATCACTCTTGAGATAATGCACATATATGATTGCATTAATTTTTTTGACTGTTATCATACTCTCGTCACACAACCGGAACTTAGCGAAACGGAATCAGAACGTCTTATATCATAGAACAAGTCGGAATGGATTCCAATCAGAAATATTCCGTTTTTTCTAGAAAGCAATAGAGATTTAAGGAATAACTGAATAATTCTGATCAAAATTTTTATTGATTATTATTGATTATTGCAAAAAATATTGCTAAGGCCTCGGTAGTCTAAAAGCTTAGAGCGCTCGCACGAATTGCAAAAGATTCGGATTCGACTCCTGGCCGAGGTAATATTTTTCACAATAAATAAATCTATTTACAGATTTCTAGTATATTAAGATCTCTTTAGATGCTTTATCAAAAATTTAATTGTGATATTATTTTAGCAATTTAGCTACGTGTTTAAGGCCGAAAAAATTTCGGCGCGCAGTTCAAATAAATATATGATATAATATATACGTATATAGTATATGTTAATTCACATTAAATTATTTGAGTATTAAAAGATTTAGCTTCGACTATTATGGCCATTATTCCCATTTGTTGAATTTTCAAATACACTGTCCAATAAGATTAGGATAAGATATTCTTTTAGATTAGATACTAGAAGATTTCTATCTATTGCTAATGCATTACTGAGCATTAGCAATGGATAGAAATACAGAGATAACCTGCAAACTTTTTATCATTGAAGATAACACCTGTGAAAGTGTGAGAAGTTATAAAGAACCTAAAAAACGTTATAAAGATTCTTATTGTTCATTTTAATTAATACTTATCCTAATAGAAGAAAATCTCCAGCCGATTCCTCTAGAAGATTTGTCCGCAGTCATTTCCCTTTGGCAATCTGACGTTCTAGAGAGGCTATCGCCTGTAGCAATTAAATTGACTTCATATCGTATTTGCTATTTTTTTCTTTATGTTTTAATTAATAACCCATTTTGTGATAAAGGTAAGGCTGATGGCATTACTGCTATTAACACAATATCTGGATTAATGGGATTGCACGCTGATGCGACTCCGTGGCCGGCAGTCGGCCTCAATAAGTCTACAACGTATGGCGGGGTGTCAGGAAACGCAACTAGGCCCCAAGCCTTGAAAGCAATTTCAACAATCTCAAGGCATCTTCCAGGATTCCCGATACTCGGCACTGGTGGCGTCGACTCGGCTGACGTCGCTCTGCAATTCCTGCATTGCGGTGCATCAGTCGTTCAAGTATCATCGAATTTTTCATAACATCCTTATTCTTAAATCATATTTCTCCTTTTTGTGTTGTTTTGTTATTACTGTTTTTCATTATTTTAAAATTTCAACATTTGAGAAACGATAAATTTGACATCTAAGAAAAATTATTTTATAACAAAATGAAAATTGTAAAATCTTAAAAATTATATTTCGATTTTATAATATTAAAATTATTTGATTTTATAATATTACCCTAATGATAAAAATTTTTATAAAATCTCACAAATCTCATAAATATTTCTAAGACTTTTTTATTTTTTAAATAAAATTTTTTGAAAAATAAATTTTTAATTTTAATCTTTTATGATATTTAAATTTTTTTCGGAAATTATACAATGAAAAATTTTAGAATATTTTAAAATTCACATGTAGATATACATACACATAAAGAATTCTGAAAAAAATATATTTATTCAACATTTCTGAAAAAACGCACTAATTTATGTAAGAAATCTGAGAAACTTTTAAGTAATTATTTAATTTACCTTTTTAAAAAAGGTGAAAAAAGGCACTAATAATATACAAATATAATATTTCTCAAATAAAACCTAAGTAATACGTTACATATCTTTTTATTATTCCAACTACTCAAATAATAGTAGTTTTAATTCTTTTTCAAAGATATTCTTGTTGAAGATATTCTTATTTTAATCCAAGTAATGGTAACTTTAATTCTCTGTCAAAAATTATTACTTCTCGAAAAAAAACTATTGTACCAAATTAAAAATTAAAAACTCAAATGGTACTGTCTACGTTATTTATTTAACTCTAATAATGTATTTATATAAAAAATGATTTAATATCAATAACTTGGTATCAAATTAAATCCTATACCAAATTAAATACATAATATTAACCCTATCCGTACAGCACAGACTTGTAGCAACATTGCTACAAGTTACAAGCTACAACATTTCAATGTTACATATTGCAATACAATGTTGCAAAAACATTGCGAAGACTTCTTTTTGCAATATTACTTCAGCAATGTTGCAACAATATTTTAAAAATATTTTTAGCAAGAGACACAAATTGACACAAAAGTCATCCTGTCCTTGTTTAAAAATCAATTATAATAGAAACAAAGACATAATAATTCTTATCACTATGTCGATTTGTACCTCTGCTAGAAAACTCACTTTCAGTGTTAAGACTTGTATATATTGATTTGTGTATAACCCAATAAAGTAAAGACCTGGATATAATGAAAGAATAGGAATTAATGATTGTACGGCACACTCTAATCGGATTTCATAACATCTATAATTATGAAACTGACCAATCTCATAACTATATTCCTCTGAAAAATGGAATGACTGGTTAGTTTCTAACTACAAATATTATTAAACTCGATTAATGTTCATTTTTATCAATATAGATCTCAGTTCAACTTATCTTCTTTTTCTAATTCTAAAGATTAGAAAAAGATGAAGAGTAAGTTGAACCGAGATTAAAGTTAATCTACATTAATGGAAACGAACATAAAGTGTAAACGTAGTCAATGTTTATAATTTATAGGAATTGCGCCTATAATTTAGACATAAAATTAGAACAATTAGAAGTAAAGATAAATGATAATGTAATATTAAAAGATAATGTAAGATTAAATGATAATGCACAATGGACACAACAATAAGATATAAGATATAAGATGCATAGATCGTATTCTGATATGCACAGTCAGTGAAACTGAAAATTTATAGTTCATATTTATTTAGTTCACGTTATGTATACTGTAGATTTTTAGTACTGGCAGAGATATTGGAACGTATCTATAAAATATAAAAACATAATTAATTATGAAGTCGTATTTTATTTGTATTCATTGTATGTTACATTTAATTCCTACTTCTAATACTTTTTATATTTATATAGTACAAAATCTTATAATAAATATTGCAGTAATAATATTATAATATTACGTTATAATATTACAGCAATATTGTTGCATTATTACAATGTTTCTGCAATAATACTGCAAGTATTCCTCCATTGTGCGCAAAATCTAATATTGTATATATATTGTAATATTGCTGCAACATTACGTATAATAATACGTATAATAATATTTTTAAAACGAACATTTTTACGTTGCTGAATATTGCAGCAATATTTTGCAATATTTTTGCAATGTTGCAATCTTGCGATGAAATATTTTTGCAATGTTTTTTGCTGCAATATTTCTGTATTGTTTGAGTAAGTACATATTTCAAAAAAAGTTCCTATCTACCCACATCCGAGTATTTCTAACCCAGCATTTTCTTTTGCATGTATTTCAGATTGTAGTGCATCGATTTTAACTATTTTTTTTAAATCTGTCGTTCGAAGACAAAAAAGAATTTTTTAGTTGGAAAGTCGAAAATATCACATACCACGAGAAATATTTTACAATAAGTAAAAAGAGATCAGAAAGAAATGTGAGAAAAACGAATTTTTTCAAACTGTCATATTTTTGTCAAAAATAAATTAAAAAGATTTTATTCGTAGATTTTATTATATTATAGATAAATCAACAGCGCTAATGAGTTGAACTTCAAGAAATTAAAAACATTTTTGCGATTTGTTCTAAAAACAATTTTTTTTATTTCCAAACTGAAATGATTTTTTAGTTTTATTGAAACTAATTATAAACCGAAAATTTTTGAATTTTGATAGAAATAAATAAAAAAAGTGCTATCGTTTTTCTGTGATAAATATTAACAATTTATTATTATATGTAATTACAATAATTATTAATAAAATTATTAATAAAAAATGGCGACTTTAAAGAGAAAAAGTATTATTGGGAGTACAAATTAGTTCGGTCCGTTTTTTTGTGCATTTATTTCAAAACAAAATGAATGAACAGATTAATTAAAGTATTGTCCATCGCTGCCTACTACTTTTTTCCATCTCTCAGGCAATTTTCGAATTCCATTTCGAAAAAATGACTCGTCTTTGGAGGCAATTCAATTTTGGAGCCAATTTTCGATTTCTGCGGAAGAAGTTAAACCAATGACTTACTGCATCCTTCGAAACAACCAGTAATCAAAAGGAACAATGTCCGGAGAATACAGCGGTAAAACATCCCATTTGAGCATTTTTAGCATTTCTAAATATTTTTTTACGATTTTAGCGACATAAAGCCGAGCGTTCATTTTTCTCGCAATGCACGGGTCAAACGAATCAATTGTAGCCGATACCGATCGCCCGTAATGGAATCGCCAAATTTCAGCAGTTCATAATAAACAAGACCCTTTTGGTTCCACCAGATACAGAGCATGATCTTCGAACCATGAATGTTCGACCATAATGTTGATGTTGAGGTCAATGGCAACGATTGACCGGGCTTAGCGTAGTATTTTTTCTTCTTGGGATTATCGTAGAATATCCACTTCTCATCTCCAGTCACAATCCGATGCAAAAAACCTTTTCTCTGTTATCTTTGAATCAGCTGTTCGTAAGTGAAAAATCGCCTTTCAACGTCTCTCGGTTTCAGTTCATAAGACATCCAATTTCCTTGTTTTTGAATCATTCCCATGGCTCTCAATCAACAGAAATGGCTTGTTGTTACTCCCAATGATTCTGCAAGCTCCTCTTGCGTTTGACTCTGATTTTCTTTGAGTAATGCCTCTAATTCTTTATCTTCGAATTTTTTTGGCTGTCCAAAGCGAGGCTTGTCTTCAACGCTGAAATCTCCATCCTTGAAACGTTGAAACCATTCCCTACATGATTTATCAGTTGGAGCAGTGTCACCATAAACTTCGACAAGTATTCGATGGGCTTCAGCCGCACTTTTCTTCCAATTAAAGCAGAAAATCAAAATCTTCCGCAAATGCTGCTTGGTTAACACAAAATTCGACATTTCAAACACAGTAAAAATCAAGGTTTTTGTATGAACTCAAGCGATATAAATTGAATATATTGTTAGCAGATTTTTAACCTTTTTGAAACCAAAATCAGCTGTCACTATGAACCATCATTCACAACAGCTGGAGCTATCCTTAGGGAAACGGACCGAATTAATTTGTACTCCCAATACTTTTTTATTTTTTTGTTAAAATATACTCAATTATATATATATATATATACAAGTATCTTGTAAATATATTATACAAAACGTTATTTTTGGTATTCGCAGCAGTTTTTTCAATTATTTTGCAGTCCGGATTTTCTGACATTGTACAAACAAGGAATTAGGGTAACCCCGACACGCACTTTGTACAGTTACAACTTCGTAACTAATGGCGAACTAAAGTTCACTAAGCAAAGGAATAGAGGTGGTACAAATCCCCCCTCCCCACAGCCTCAGTCACTCAAAGCTAATTCGAATATCTGAACTGAAAATCGGCAGGGATAAGAGGGGACTTGTACTATCTGTAGTTACACTAACCTTTTGCGGGTACTGAGAGTTGATATAACATATATTATTTGTATAAAATATTTGATATCAACAACTTGGGCTAAGTTAAATCCTAGTTATCAAATAAAATAAAGAATATAATTCAAATGGTATTATCTTTAATTTTTATACAATGAAATCTAAGTATAATATATATACAGAGTGGTCCACGTAAAGTGTTAAAGCTAATAACTCTAAAAATATTTTTCCTATCAAAAAGTTGTTCATGAGAAAATTTTATATATTCGAGAGATTTTTCTAACTATGTAAAAATCCGCTCCCCCCTTGGGGGGGGACGGGGATAACATTAAAGTTTCAAATAAACTTCCTATAAAATGTTAGATTTGGATTCTACGGGAAAAAATAAATAAACTTTGTCTGAAATATTTCAAAGGAATTTGAAGAGGATTCTCCTCTATATATTAGATTGTCCGGAAAGTTCGTGCCGATTAACCTATATAATTTAATAAATGTATATTAAAATTTAAATTTTCTGCGTTTCAATTTTCCTTCAATATCAGCACGAACTTTCCGGACAATCCAATACTTTGAAAAATAACTGATTGGATAATTTGAGTGACATTCTCCT